TCCACATCCAAAAAAAGAGAAGGGGAATCTTAGTAATATAAATGCGAATTTTGAGAAGTTTGTTTGAAGGTATCTCCAAAACAGCTTGGACTTGATGAAATTTGGCATACATAAAGAACATAGTCTGGAAGAACACATAAGCTACTAATTATATTTTGTTTTACGAAGCCGTGGCCGACGATAGCAACAAAAATCGTTCAATCAGTTGTAGATAATACGAGGTAGTTGAGTTGGCACGTCGGGTATACGAGTGTTCTTATTTCGTACGTGCCAAATCAAAATCTAGTTACATAGGGTACTACATATTGTTACTGACCGGCGATAGTGGCTGATGGTAGAGCGCCAGCCGCAGCTGCTGGACCCTGCTTGATGATCTGCGTTATCTTCTGCTGCTGGATCACCTGGGAGAGAACAACTTAACTCAACTCAACTGAAATGAGATAAGAAAGACAGACCTATCTATTTTTAGACATTATTAGTTAGAATCATTTGGCGCGAATGACGTGTTTTCATTAAAAAGTCAAATGTCAGAATGATTAGTGAGGGGACATAAACATCGACATTTTAGTAAGGCTTGTGTTTTGTGTTGTGCCAGTACACCGGCACTGTGTCGGATTTTCTTTCTAACACTATACATCTATACATATTAATAAAATTAGTTTGTCTGTATGTAACATTGTCAAATTCGCGTAAACATCATGTATTTCCATAGCTGATAAGAAATACAATTTTTTTTAATTATTTGTCTGACTGTATGTCTGTCCGCAGGCTGTTTGTTCCGGCTAATCTCCGGAACTGGTGGATCGTTTTTGACGGGACTTGGATAGAAAGGTACCTGATGCACGCGGGCATGTTATAGGCTATTTTTTTTTTTAATTTAACGCTGAGAAAGTCACGGGCGCAAGCTAGTATTTACATAGAGTGACATGTTAAGTGTACAGTTTCTGACCAGTGTACAATGTGTAACAAAGGTGTAGCCTACCTTCCTCAATCTCTCAACGAAGGTGGCCTGGTTGTTGGGTATGAAGCCGAGGTAAGCCTTCTTGTCAGGAGTGTACAGGAGGATCAGCACTTTGATGTCACATTGAGGTGGAGACGACATCGGAGAGAAGTGGACGCACCCCGCCTGGACCACAGGACAGATATTTATTTAAAAAAAAAATGACTGATATATAGGGTTTCTAAGACCAAAATCCCCATTAAAAACATATTGTTATCACCGTTTTATCAAAGATAATGACAGGGATGACGATATGTTTTATACAGAGATTTTCGTCTTAGAAACCCACGGTTAGTAACACATAAAATACTAGACGTAGTTTTCAAAATTATGCACAGTTTTCAGGGTACTCGTGATTTTTTTTCTAAATTCACCCATAAATGTTCAATAGATAAAAAATATGAAAATTACTTAAAAATTGACTAAACCTTTAAACACAAACAATTTAGTATTCTGTTTATTTTTTTTTAATATTAGCATAATTTAATAACCAAACTATTTTTTAAAAACCAGTAAATTCAAATATTACTCTTAAGAATCATCTTACTAATATTATAAATGGATGGATGTTTGTTTGAAGATATCTCTGGAACAGCTGAACGGATCTTTGATGAAATTTGTCATACATATAGAACAGTGTTTCCCAAAGTGGGTGATAACGCCCCCTTGTGGGCGCTGCAGATCTCAAGTTGCGGGTTATAGTAAAAGTTTCCTTTACAATTCTCCGTTAATATACATATATAGGTCACAATAATTAATTAATTTAATTTGAAATTATAGTGGTTTTTAAATATGTGAAAATATGGGAGCGCTAAAAAAATATTTATTCTCAAAGTGGGCAGTAGACAAAATAAGTTTGGGAAACACTGGTCTAGAAGAACACAGAGGCTATTAATTATGTTTTTTTTTAATTCCGTGCAGACATAGTCGTGCTGGATAGCTAGTTTAACAATAATCATATTCAAAATTAACAACGAAAATAGTATTCATCAAGTTAATTCTTAAAAAAATATAAAAAAGAGTTAGGACAATCTACATAGGAGTACTTACATATCCATTAACCATGACCTTGGTGAGGGACTCCACGGACTCATTTGGCTGGAGATGGAAGAGCACAGACTTGCTGTCGCGCAGGTACTGACCGCCAATGTTGCTGATCAGCTGCTTCGGCATCAGCTGCATCAGCAGCTTGTTCGGCCAAGTTTCCACCTTCAGCTCAGGTTCCACGTCCTTTGAGTTCGCTGATACCTTTAATAAATATATCTTACTTTATAAATGCGAATGTTTAGATGGATGTTTATTGGAAGGTATCTCCAGAACGGATCTCAATGAAATTTAACATGGATGTAGTTCATAGTTTGGAACAACACAAAGGCTATTAAGTTTTTTTTATTCAGCATGGGCAGAGACACGGGCAAAAGTATGGATGGATGGATGTATAATATGTTATTAGATATCTCCAGAACAGCTACACAGATCTTGTCGAAATTTGGCATAGATATAGAACATAGTATGGAAGAACACATAGATTTTTTTTGATTCCGCGCGTACGGATTCGTGGGCAAAAGCTAGTTTACAAAACATTGTTAACCTGACACGGTAGATGCTTGGTGACCTTCTGCTGGTCACCAGATGTCTTCCCTTTCTCCATCCACTCGAGGATGCCGGACCAGATGTATGTGCGCTTGAGGGTCGGAGGCCCGCCGGGAGCGGAGGGTCCAGCACCTTGGTTCAGCAGAGATGGCATTCGCTGCATGTTGCCCTGCAAATACCACCTTAACATAAAGAGGTAGGCAGAGAACGGATCTTTATTTATTGATGCAAAAAGTACGTACAAAATATAGGACATATAGTTAAAAGTACGTACTAAGTATGGCATATACTATTTACGGCATGTACTAAATATGGTATCTCCTACATGTACTAAGTACGGAATTTCCTACTTACATTGCACACAAGATAACGTTAAATCTTTAAAATTAATATTACATGGTCGTGAGTATCGCATTGCACGCGCTCCGTACATAAAGTTGAATCGTCGACGCGAGTCGTCTATCCTTGTCCTGAATAGACGACTACATATCAACTGTATAGATTTGCTCTGCCATTTTGAAAATTACAAGGACTTGACAAGCAGGTTGGGAGCGACTAGCTTTAGCGATGACAGATCGAAATTTAGGCAATCCGAGGAGTACCAATAGCATCGCCAGGCGATAATCCAGGCTAGATCTATTTTAATATGGTCCTATTCTAAGTATTTTTTTACTAATGGGCTTTATCAGCGAAAAAAAATTTTTTTTGTTAATCGCTTTTTAACCTATAATTGAACATTACCAATAAATATTGTATTTTAAGGTTGCAAAGCTCATACTGTTGAACCTCTATGACTCTGTATTGCGTAAGTAACTTATGGACTAAAATCGCTAGATTTCAAAAATTAACTTAGCTTTGTTGGAAGGGCCTTACTTAGTTATATGTTACCTGGGCGGCATGCGCGGGTGGAGGTGGAGGATAAGAAGGCTGAGCCAGCTGGGTGAGCAGTGCTGAGTTGTTGGCATATATAGGCTGACGCTGAGGGTGCACACCCATCCATCCGGGACGCACTGGGGCTCGGATATCACGCTGGAACTGTGGCGCTGCAGGACCGCGAGGTGGCGCTGCGGTCGCACGCGCTTGACTGAACATACATATTGGAATTAGAAAAAAACTCTACTAAACAACGAATAAAACCTGTTTATGACCAAATAAAACGAAGGTAAAGTGGAAGTTCCGCGTTTCTTCTGATGAGTGTTTCAAACGCCTTATTTTCAACTCAGTCCTATTTCCCTTCGAACCCTTTTCTTACAAGGAAGGGAAGGGGAAGTGGATTTGAAGGAGGAATACATAAAGGGGAAATATTCTCTTTTAATAAATCTCCTCTCCCGTCGATTGAATGTAGGCAATGTATGTACATTGCAAATGTCTATGGCTATTGCTTCGTCATTTCGGCGTATTCAAGTACCCAAAGGTAAAAAAAACTCCAGCAAAATCTCCTAAAAATTTCCTTATAAGATTACATAACTTACCCGTACATGTCAGGTTGTACATCGGGTGCAGGCTTTGGCGCGGGACTCGGGGGCCTCTCTTTTAGACTGTAACCCCGAGTCAGTACCAAGTGCCGAGGGTCCTGAGGGCCTTATATTAGTTAGTCATACTAATAGCTACTATCGTTTGACTCTATCTAACAATACACAATATATCTTTAAAACCATTTGTCACTGTAAATCACACATTAAATTGCCTTTTTAATTCGTACTAATTGTCGCCCGCGACTCCGTCTGCGCGGAATTAAAAAAAATCATAATTAGCAGCCTAAGAGTGTCTTCCAGACTATGTTCTATATGTACGACAAATTTCAGCTAGATCCGTTCGTCAGTTCGAGAGATACTTTCAAACAAACATCTATCCATCCATCCATTTATAATATTAGTAAGAAGTAAGATTGGTGGAGAAATTGTCGCAAGATACTCTGCCTTTTGGGGGAAAAACTGGGTTATATGAAATTCCTACTCACTAAAATCACCTCAGTTGCTTTCCAATAGTGCCACTGGGCTGCAGGATCTGCAGTGAAATTTACCGGAACCAATTTGAATTACCTTAGCATAGTTCCTCTGTTGTGCTTGATGCAGCTCCCCACCTGCATGTTCGTAAAGAGCTATCAATGCGGGCAATCGTTTAGCAGAAGCTATAGACAGGTGAGCACCACGCTCACTAATCAAACGGGCCGCTTGTTCTACTGTAGCGGGAGCACCTGTAACAGATACACAGAATTTTTCAAGAGAAATATCTAAAAGCAATAGTCATTATCAGGGCCATATGGACAATGTCTTTATAAACGAGAAAATATAGCGATCCTTTGTACTCTCATTTGCATACATTTTTTCAATTTGCTTCCTATTGAGGCATGTTAAATTATCAATACTATATAAGGGCCCTATAATATTTTTAGGGACCTTACTATAAGTGATTTTTTAAGTATTAAGCGGTAACTCTCAGAGCCATCACCAATGAAAGTATTTAAACTCACCCTGTGGTACCAAACCTCCAGCATATGCAGAATAAGGAGGTGAACAACATATTAATAATATGTGCATTGGCAGATCAGTACGTCCCAGCTCATCGAAGCAAGATAATGCTGTTGATAAGGCTTCCGTTATACAACCACGGTTCTCTGCATTACCACCAATGTATCTAAAAGC